GACGCAGATCCGTGCAGACACAGATCCCGTGTGTCCGAGCAGGACGCAGATCCGTGCAGACACAGATCCCGAGTGTCCCGAGCAGGACGCAGATCCGTGCAGACACAGATCCCGAGTGTCCGTTGCAGGACGCAGATCCGTGCAGACACAGATCCCGTGTGTCCGAGCAGGACGCAGATCCGTGCAGACACAGATCCCGAGTGTCCGTGCAGGACGCAGATCCGTGCAGACACAGATCCCGTGTGTCCGAGCAGGATGCAGGTCCGGGAGCCCGTGATCAACGACGAGCTGCCCGGGCGCATCATCACGGGCAAAGTGCGCATCATCCGCCCCGGCGTGCGGGAGGTGCGGGCGCACGCGGTCCTGTTCCGCGACGCGGCCCCGGAGGAGCCCGTGGACATCATCGTCTTCGCCACCGGCTACTCCTTCGCCTTCCCCTTCCTGGACGAGGCGGTGCTGCGCGTGGAGGCCGGCCAGGCCTCCCTGTACCAGTACGTCTTCCCGCCGCACCTGGCGCGGCCCACGCTGGCCGTCATCAGCCTCATCAAGCCCTTCGGGTCCATGGTCCCCACGGCCGAGACCCAAGCGCGCTGGGCAGCCCGCGTCCTCAAGGGTAAGGGCGGGCGGGGACAGGGAGGGGGACAGGGAGGGCCCCAGGGAGGCCGGGCGAGGCCCCCTGCAGCCCAGAGGGTCCTCCTGGCTCTGTCGGAGGGGGTCCCCAGTGCAGCAGAGCCGGGGAATTGGCCCTGAGCATCACTGGGGTGACCAGAGAAGGGAGGGAGGGAGGGAGGGAGGGAGGGAGGAAGGAAGGAAGGAAGGAAGGAAGGAAGGAAAGAAGGAAGGAAGGAAGGAAGGAAGGAAGGAAGGAAGGGAAGGAAGGGAGAGAGGGAGGGAGGGAGGAAGGAAGGGAGGAGAAAGGAAGGAAGGGGGAAGGAAGGAAGGAAGGAAAGAAGAAAGGAAGGAAGGAAGGAAGGAAGGAAGGAAGGAAGGAAGGAAGGAAGGAAGGAAGGGAGGGAGGAAGGAAGGAGGAGGGAGGAAGGAAGGAAGGGAGGAAGGAGGGAGGGAGGAAGAAAGGAAAGAAGGAAGGAAGGAAGGAAGGAAGGGAGGGAGGAAGGAAGGGAGGAAGGAGGGAGGGAGGAAGAAAGGAAAGAAGGAAAGAGGAAGGAAGGAAGGAAGGAAGGAAGGAAGGAAGGAAGGAAGGAAGGGAGGAAGGAAGGGAGGAAGGAGGGAGGGAGGAAGAAAGGAAAGAAGGAAAGAGGAAGGAAGGAAGGAAGGAAGGAAGGAAGGAAGGAAGGAAGAGAGTGAGTGGAGTGGGCCCTGGGCTGGCTTCATTTCACCCCGTGGTCCTGCAGACCAAAGCTGGGGCCACCCCAGCCACCTGGCCAACGTGGGCTGCCCCTCCGGGTGAGCCCCTTCCCTCACGACACTGCTTTGTCAGGAGCGGACCAGTATCCCGGGCTGGGGCAGGCAGGCATGACCGCTGGGTGCCAGCCGTGGGAAGGAAGGAAGGCGGCGGGACCTACTTTCTGCCGCCCAGGACCCGGGTGCTCGGGCTGCCGGCCAAGGGCCTGTTGCGTCTGTTTCCTAGGTGTGACCAAGCTGCCGCCCTCGGACGTCATGATGGAGTCGGTGAGAGTCAGGAAGCTGAACAAGCCCACGGGGTGAGTCCCCCCACTCCGGAGCAGTCACTGAAGTCCGTCACAATAAGGAGGGGCCGGAGCGATAGCACAGCGGGGAGGGCGTTTGCCTTGCATGCGGCCGACCCGGGTTCAATCCCCGGCATCCCATAAGGTCCCCTGAGCACCGCCAGGGGTGATTCCTGAGTGCAGAGCCAGGAGTCAGCCCTGAGCATCGCCAGGTGTTGACCCAAAACAATAACAACCAAAAAAAAACCAAAAAAACAAAAAAAAAACAAGGGGCTGGAGTGATAGCACAGCGGGTAGGGCGTTTGCCTTGCGCGCGGCCGACCCGAGTTCGATTCCCAGCATCCCATAGGGTCCCCTGAGCACCGTCAGGATTAGTTCCTGAGTACATGAGCCAGGAGGAACCTCTGTGCATCGCCGGGTGTGACCAAAAAAAAGCAAAAAAAAAAAAAAAAAATAAGGAAGTCAAATGAATAGCCAAGAAACATATGAGTTACGTAAGAAGCCCCCCAAGACTTGGAGGAGAGTGGGAGAAAAAAGATGGGAGAGGGGGCCAGAGTGAGCACTGTGGGGAGGGCACTGGCCTGGCTTACAGTGAACCTGGGTTCAATCCCCGGCATCCCATAGTGTCCCCGAGCACCACCATGAGTAATTCCTGAGTGCAGAGCCAGGAAGGACCCCTGAGCGTCTTCCGGTGTGACCCAAAAAGAAAAAAAAAGAGAGAGAAGAAGAACCAGGATTTTGAGAAGTCTTTTTTTTTTTCATTTTTATTAGTGAAACACCATGAGGTACAGTTGTAGACTTACAAATTTTTGTGCTTGGGTTTCAGTTATACAATGATCGAGTACCCATCCCTCCACCAGTGCCCATTTCCCACCACCACGGATCCCAGTATCCCTCCCACCCCCCTCATCCCCCCATCCCACCCTGCCTCTGTGGCAGGGCATTCCCTTTTGTTCTCTCTCTCCTTTTGGGTGCTGTAGTTTGCAAATGGGGCATCGAGTGGCAATCATGTTTGGTCTAGAGTCTACTTTCAGCATGCTTCTCCCATCCTGGGCGGATCCTCCCAATACCCTTTGCTTGGTGCTCCCTTCTCTATCTGAGCTGCCTTTACCCCTAGCATGTGCGGCTGGCCTCCAAGCCATGGAGCAAAACTCCTGGTACTAATCTCGGCCGTTCTTGGGTGTTAGTCTCCTATTTTGTTACTTTATGTTCCCCAGATGAATGCAATCTTCCTATGTCTGTCCCTCTCTTTCTGACTCATTTCACTTAGCATGATACTTTCCATGTAGTACCCCTTGTATGTAAACTTCATGAGAAGTCTTTTTTTTTTTTTGAGGAAAGGGGGCAGCTGAGGGGGGTTGGACCAAGGGTCCGAGGGCAGGGCTGCTGCTGCCCGGGGTTCTCAGTCAAGCAGACGTGCCGGTCTGTGGCCGCTCCGGAGTCGCTCAGGAGTCAGGCTGAATCCAGGTCGGGGAATGTGCTGAGCTCGGGGCCCCTGGTCAAGACAGTCTCTGTTGAAGCTCTCCAAGGCTGTCGCTACCCCTCACTCACTCCCATTGCCTTGGCAGAGAAGTTTCTAGAGCAGTTCCTTGCCATCACGTGCCTGTCCTGAACTTCCCTGAACTCCATCGGTCGGTGTGCATGTCACAGGAAGCCTGGGGTGTGTGTGGGGGGGCGGGGGGGACACACAGCTGGAGGGGCGGGGCTCAGGCTTGCAGGCAGACGCCCGGCTGCATCCCTGGTACCAGGGGTGCCCACAGGAGCAACCCCAGAGAAGCCCCCGAATGAGGAAAGCAACCACCGCCCTAAGACATCAGGTTCAGAGGCAGGAACCATGGGACCACATCCAGTTCCAGCAGCGCCGCTACCTCCCGCGGACACGCGTGTTCTGAGATCACTTTCAGCCCCCCACCGCAGACCCTGTCCATCTCAGGTCACTGACCCCACCATGGACCCTTGTTCATCTCAGGTCACTGTCCCCCCATGGACCCTTGTTCTCAGACCACTGTCCCCCATGGGCCCTTGTCCATCTCAGGTCACTGTCTCCCGTGGACACTTGTCCATTTTGGGTCACTGTCCCCATGGAACCTTGTCCATCTCAGGTCACTGTCTCCCACCATGGACCCTTGTTCTCAGACCACTGTCCCCCATGGGCCTTTGTCCATCTCAGGTCACTGACCCCACCATGGACCCTTGTTCTCAGACCACTGTCCCCCATGGGCCCTTGTCCATCTCAGGTCACTGTCCCACCATAGACCCTTGTTTATCTCAGGCCACTGACCCCCACCATGGACCCTTGTCCATCTCAGGTCACTGTCCCCCCGTGGGCCTTTGTCCATCGTAGATCACTGTCCCCCCCAGACCCTTGTCCAGGTCACTGTCCCCCCGTGGGTCCTTGTCCATCGTAAGTCATTGTCCCCCCGTGGGCCCTTGTCCATCTCAGGTCAGTGTCCCCCCCGGACCCTTGTCCAGGTCACTGTCCCACCATAGACCCTTGTTTATCTCAGGTCACTGACCCCCCATAGGCCTTTGTCCAGGTCACTGTCCCCCCGTGGTCCCTTGTCCATCTCAGGTCACTGTCCCCCCGTGGGCCTTTGTCCATCTCAGGTCACTGTCCCCCGCGGACCCCCGCTTCTAAGATCTCCGTCTTCTCCGCCTCCGCCCGCCCCCTCGCAGGTTCGGCTTCTCCTTCTGCAAAGCGCTGCAGTCCGACTACATCCCCTACATCGACGAGCTCCTGGAGGCCATCGGGGCCAAGCCCAGGCTGCTCACCCTGCTGCTGACCGACCCCCGCCTGGCCTGCGCCGTCTTCTTCGGCCCCTACACCCCGTACCAGTTCCGCCTGACGGGCCCGGGCAAGTGGGCAGGGGCCAGGAACGCCATCCTGACCCAGTGGGAGCGGACGGTGAAGGTGACCAGGACGCGCGTGGTGCCAGAGGGCCCCTCGCCCGTGGCCGGCTTCCTCGGGCTCGTGGGCGCGCTGGTGCTGCTCCTGGCCCTGTGCCTGTTCTTCCTGTAAAGCCGAGAGGAAGCTAAGAGGAGGATCCCACACATCCCACTTCTCTCCTCTCCTTCACCAGGGAAAACTCCAATCCAGGGGCTGGAATAATAGAGACGCAGGGGGGAGCGTTTTGCCTTTCAGAGGCTGACCCGGGTTCGATCCCCAGCATCCCTTAGAATCACTGCCAGGGGGCCTGGAGCGATAGCCCGGCGGGGAAGGCGTTTGTCTTGCACGCGGCCGACCTGGGTTCGATCCCCGGCATCCCATAGGGTCCCCCGAGCACCGCCAGGAGTGATTCCTGAGTGCAGAGCCAGGAGTCAGCCCTGAGCATCGCAGGGTCTGATCCAAAAAGCAAAAAATAAAAATTAAAAATAAGAATCATTGCCAGGAGGAATCCCTGCATCTCTGGGGGTGACCCGAAAACAAAAAGGAAATTCTCGAATGCACAGAGTGTGATCGGCCCTTTCCCCCTTCCGGGGGACTCCCTAGCGTGACCTTCTATTCTCCAGTGGGACCCCTGGGCTTCTCTCAGCCCCCCTGGTTTATTTCAAAGCCTGAAAGATGATCCCCAAGAAATCTGTGAGTGGAAAGGCCTCTGGAAGCTTCCAGAATGAAAGTCTTGCCAGAGGGCTGTCCAAACAACAGCACCCACCCCACCCACCCAACCCCCATGAACTGACTTTATCGCTCTCTGCAAACACTCGTTCGTGGAATGGTGATCTCGCGGTATCTGCCAATCAGAAATAAAATAAACCCCCAAAATGGGTTGTATTTTTGTATTTTTGGGGCTGGAGGGATAGCACAGCGGGTAGGGCGTTTGCCTTGCACCCAGCTGACCCGGGTTCAATTCTCAGCATCCCGTAGAGTCCCCCGAGCACCGCCAAGAGTGATTCCTGAGTGCAGAGCCAGGAGGAACCCCTGAGCATCGCTGGGTGTCAGCCACTGTCACTGTCACTGTCCTCCCGTTGTTCATCGATTTGCTCGAGCAGGCTCCAGTAACATTGCGAGACTTGTTACTGTTTTTTGGCATATCGAATACGTCACAGGCTTGTCAGGCTTTGCTGTGTGGGCGAGATACTCTCGGTAGCTTGCCGGGCTCTTCGAGAGGAACGGAGGAATCGAACCCGGGTCGGCCGGGTCGGCCGGGTGCAAGGCAAATGCCCTACCTGCTGTGCTATTGCTCAAAAAGAAAAAAAAAAGTATTCAAGGCTTGTATTTTCGACAGCTGGGGAGAGATGAGTGGAAAGACAGACGTCTGGTCCCTGTTGGAGGGGGGTTTACCGATCTATGGATAACGGCAGGGCCCAGAGAGATAGGACACATAGAGGCACTTGCCTCGCGTGCGGCCCACCTGAGCTTGATCTCAGGCTTCATGGATGGTGCCCTGAGCACCAGCAGGAGTGAGCCCCGAGCACAGAGCCGGGAATACCCCTGAACGTCGCCACCTCTGACCCCAGAGCAAAAACAAGCTCACACAGCCTGAGGTGCAGAAGACCGTGAACTGCATCCGCTCAGGAGCGCACAAGTGCTTGTGTGCCCTCTCCAGCGTGGGGGTGCTCTGGCTGGCATCACCCAGACCTGAATCAGACCAGCCCCTGAGAGACACCCCTGATCAGCAGCACGAGGAGACAAGGAAGAGATTGCTCAGAGTCACCCTGAAAATGCAGTGCTGCTGGGGCCGGAGCGATAGCACAGCGGGGAGGGTGTTTTCTTTGCATGTGGCCAACTCGGGTTCGATCCCCAGCATCCCATAGGGTCCCCCGAGCACCGCCAGGAGTGATTCCTGAGTGCAGCGCCAGGAGGAACCCCTGAGCATCTCTGGGTGGACCCAAAAGCAAAAAAAAAAAATAAATAAACACAGTGCTACAGGGGCTGGAGCAATAGGACAGTGGGGAGAGCATTTGCCTTGCACACAGCTGACCCGGGTTCGATCCCTGGCATCTCATAGGGTCCCCCAAGCACTGCCAAGAGTGATCGCTGAGTGCAGAGCCAGGAGTCAGCACTGAGCATCGCCGGATGTGGCTCAAAAAATAAAACAAAAATATTATTTTAAATTTAAAAAGTAGGGGCTGGAGCGATAGCACAGCGGGGAGGGCATTTGCCTTGCACGCGGCCGACCCAGGTTCGATCCCCGGCATCCCATATGGTCCCCCAAGCACCGCCAGGAGTAATTCCTGAGTGCCTAAGCCAGGAATAACCCCTGTGCGTCGCCGGGTGTGACCCAAAAAGCCAAAAAAAAATTTAAAAAGTAATAAAATGCACCATTACAATCTGGAAAGAACCCAAGAGACCCAACACAGAAGTGGCCAAAGATGTTGTTTATAGGGGCCGGAGTGATAGCACAGCGGGTAAGGGGTTTGTCTTGCATGCGGCCGATCTGGGTTCGATTCCCAGCCTCCCATAGGGTCCCCTGAGCACCGCCAGGAGTGATTCCTGAGTGCAGAGCCTGGAGGAACCCCTGAGCATCGCTGGGTGTGACCCCCCCCCCAAAAAAAGATGTTGTTTATAGGGGAATGACCGGGACAAATGAATGGAGACGTTACTGGCGCTGGCTCTAGCAAATCGATGAACAACGGGGTGATAGTGATAGTTGTTTGTAGGCAGTGAGTACCCACTGCTTAGTCACTAGAAATGAGGGGTCTGGCTAGTGCAGGAGTGAGGTTTGAGGGACTCAAGCTAAAGCTCTTAAGCCATCTCATCAAACTCTACACCACTGATGTACCAGGAGTAGCCCACCACGTTGGATGGTGTGTAAAGCAGAAAGCAACTGACCTCTGTCACTGTCACTGTCCTCCCGTTGTTCACCGATTTGCTCGAGTGGGCCCAGTAACGTCTCCATTGGAGATTTTGTTGTTACTGTGTCTGGCATATCGAATACGTCACGGGGAGCTTGCCAGGCTCTGCCATGTGGGCGAGATACTCTTGGGAGCTTGCCGGGCTCTCCAAGAGGGGCGGAGGAATCGAACTCGGGTTGGCCATGTTGGCTGCGTGCAAGGCAAACGCCCTAGCGCTGTGCTATCGCTCCAGCCCAAACTGACCTCAATTTAAAAAATTATATATATGCATAATATATATTATATAGAATGGGAATTATATGCATAAACCAAATATATTTTTTAATTTATTTCCTAGTTGCTAGACACCCATTCCCTCTCAGAGCTGGAAAAAAATCACTCTTGTAGGTTTCCTCAGGTAACTACAGGACTTGGGGTGACAGTTCCTTCAGGTGGGTACACAGCTCGAATGCCAGCTCCAGGGGTTCAGAGATTGGTTCCCCCCACCCCACCCCATCCCTGCCGTCCTTCCAAAAGGGAGGGGCGAATTCTTTTGCAAACCACAACACCCAAAAGGAGAGAGAGAGAGAGGGGGCTGGAGCAATAGCACAGCGGGAAGGGCGTTTGCCTTGCACGCGGCCGACCGGGTTCGATTCCCAGCATCTCATGTGGTCCCCTGAGCACCGCCAGGGGTGATTCCTGAGTGCAGAACCAGGAGTAACCCCTGTGCATTGCCAGGTGTGACCCAAAAAGCAAAAAAAAAAAAAAGGAGAGAGAGAGAACAAAAGGGAATGCCCTGCCACAGAGGCAGGGTGGGATGGGGGGGATGGGGGGGTGGGAGGGATATTGGGATCAGTGGTGGTGGAGAATGGGCACTGGTGGAGGGATGGGTACTCGATCACTGTATAACTGAAACCCAAGCACCAAAATGTGTAAATCTACAACTGTACCTCATGGTGTTTCACTAATAAAAATTTAAAGAAGAGAAGAAGAAGAAGAAGAAGAAGAAGAAGAAGAAGAAGAAGAAGAAGAAGAAGAAGAAGAAGAAGAAGAAGAAGAAGAAGAAGGAAGAAGAAGAAGAAGAAGAAGAAGAAGAAGAAGAAGAAGAAGAAGAAGAAGAAGAAGAAGAAGAAGAAGAAGAAGAAGGAAGAAGAAAGAAGGAGTTGCTAAGCCAGCCTGGTCCTGATGTAGGGAGTGGGAGAAGAAGAAGAAGAAGAAGAAGAAGAAGGAGAAGAAGGAGAAGAAGGAGAAGAAGGAGAAGAAGGAGAAGAAGGAGAAGAAGGAGAAGAAGGAGAAGAAGGAGAAGAAGAAGAAGAAGAAGAAGAAGAAGAAGAAGAAGAAGAAGAAGAAGAAGAAGAAGAAGAAGAAGAAGAAGAAGAAGAAGAAGAAGAAGAAGAAGAAGAAGAAGAAGAAGAAGAAGAAGAAGAAGAAGAAGAAGAAGAAGAAGAAGAAGAAGAAGAAGAAGAAGAAGAAGAAGAAGAGAAAGAAAGAGTTGCTAAGCCAGCCTGGTCCTGATGCAGGGAGTGGGCGCCCCCTGCTGGCTTCCAGGGGCAGAGCCGCGAACTCTGCGTTTCAAGGTTCCAAAGAACCGCGGCTTCCAGAAGGGCAGGTTTCACAAGTCCCATGTCCTGCCAATCCCTGCTCTCTGTCGTCATTCGTCACCTCACCCTATCTGAGACCATGGAAGGAGCAAACTCACATTCCACACAACTTTTTTTTTTCCTCCGCTGTGAGTTTGCTTTCTGCTCTCACGGGCTGATCCGAGAGTTTGGCATCAACTCAGAGCACCGGGCTGCGAGTCAGCACCCCATTTCCTTTTAAATAACAGAGTTTGAGTGTCGAAGTGTGCTGTTTGCTCGTCAGGAGGAAACTCCCTGGCTTATTGGTTGTAAGAAATCATTCAAGTCAGAATATCTGTTCCTTGCCAATCAGGTAAGTGTCCTGGGGTTGGTTTGGGGCTGGGAATATTTTCAGGAACTGTGTTGGCAGAAGCATTCGGCGTTCTGTTGCCCCTGAATGCCTTCCTCCAGAATGCCTTCTCTTCTCTGGAAGAGAATGAGATTCTCTTCTGCAGAAACTCTTGGAGAGGGTTAGAGCAGTAGAATTCTAGAGCAGGACAAAGCGAAGAAAAAAAACATTGGAAAGAAAGGAAATTGTGTCCTGGAAAGTTGCTAGAACAGAGCTGAAGAAAATCTGCCTTTACTTGCAGACTCCCTTCTCATTTCATCTTGTTTGGGTTTTGTTTCGTTTTGTTTGTTTTGGGGCCGTAACTGGCGGTGCTCAGGGCTCATTCCTGGCTCTGCACTCCGGGATCATTCCTGGCAGGCTTTGACCTGGCATCAAACCCGGGTTAGTCGTGTTCAAGACAAGCGCCCTCCCCACTGACCTGTCTCTCCAACACCTCTCTGATTTCATCTTCTGGGAGCACTGAGGCTTCAGGCTTTGGGAAACTCAAATATTCCACAGGGCGGGTCTGACAGAGAAAACCAGAATGAAGTTAAAGCAAGTGTCAGGTTCTAAACTTGAATAAATCATGATTCATAGGGTTGGAGCCATAGCACAGCGGGGAGCCTTGCACGCGGCTGACCTGGGTTCGATCCCCGGCATCCCAAAGGCTCCCCCGAGCACCACCAGGAGTAATTCCTGAGTGCTAAAACCAGGAGGAACCCCTGACCATCTCTGGGTGTGACCACAAAAAACAAACAAACAAACAAAAAAAAAATACTGGGCATTTGGACATAAAACACCTCAGGTGGCAAGAACCAGAGCTCCAGTTCATGGTAGCTGACACTGGTTCTTCCAAGCTGGTCACAGGGAAACCACGAGAAAACTACTAGAAATCTCTGACAATATGGGACCAATCTCACAGAAAATCAAGAGTCTATCCAAGGTCATGTCTTCTGCTCCAGCTCCCTAACTCACTCACTTCCCTCCTACAGATGCCAGAAATCTGGGGCTGGAGCGATAGCACAGTGGGTAGGGCATTTGCCTGGCACGCGGCCAACCCGGGTTCGAGTCCCAGCAACCCATAGGGTCCCCCGAGCACCACCAGGGGTGATTCCTGAGTGCAGAGCCAGGAGGAACCCCTGAGCATCACCAGGTGGGACCCAACCCCCCAAAAATAATACCAGAAGTTGATTTGTAAATGCCTGTTCCTCCCACTCCCACACCCACAGAAATTCTTAATTTCTAAATGTTATGTCGTATAAAGGAGAAACGTTTCCCGGTTCTTCTTCACTGTTAACTGGTTGTATAGGAAAAGGTACTTTGGCCCAGTAAGAGCCGCTGCACTAACAGGTCTTGGGCACAACTAACCCACTCAAGCAGACTCAGCCTTGCAGCCGGCGTGCACTGCCCTTCTAGAACATTCACTGCCATTCTGGAACATTCGCTGCCATTCTAGAACATTCCCTGCCACTCTAGAACATTCTGTAGCTAGCATGTGTCAGCCTCTCCAGACAGTGAGAGTAACAGAGCAGCTCTGAGAGTAACAGCAAGTGTGAGAGTTCTGCAAGCTCTGCAAGCATACTCTTTAGGTCTTTGTGTGTTGGGGGGGGGTTCATATCTGGTGGTGCTCAGAGGCTACTCCCAGTATTGTGCTCAGGGGGTCATTCCTGGCAGTGCTCAGGGTCCCACTTGCAGTGTCACGGATTGAACAGGCATGCAAGGCAAATGCCTTATTCCCCGCCCCCCAACTCCAGCCCGAGCCTGCATTTGTCACCAAAGCAAGATTGTGCCCCAGTTCCCAGATGAAAGGGTACTGCTCAGTTACTCTCACAGCTGCTGTTACTCTCAGAGCTGCTCTGTTACTCTCACAGCTGCTCTGTTACTCTCACAGCTGCTCTGTTACTCTCACAGCTGCTGTTATTCTCACAGCTGCTCTGTTACTCTCACAGCTGCTCTGTTACTCTCACCGCTGCTCTGTTACTCTCACAGCTGCTCTGTTACTCTCACAGCTGCTGTTATTCTCACAGCTGCTCTGTTACTCTCACAGCTGCTCTGTTACTCTCACCGCTGCTCTGTTACTCTCACAGCTGCTCTGTTACTCTCACAGCTGCTCTGTTACTCTCACAGCTGCTCTGTTACTCTCACAGCTGCTGTTACTCTCACAGCTGCTCTGTTACTCTCACAGCTGCTGTTACTCTCAGAGCTGCTCTGTTACTCTCACAGCTGCTGTTGCTCTCACAGCCGCGCTGTTACTCTCACAGCTGCTGTTACTCTCACAGCTGTTATTACTCTCAATAGCTGCTGTTACTCACAGCTGCTCTGTTACCCTCACAGCTGCTGTTACCCTCACAGCTGCTGTTACTCACAGCTGCTCTGTTACTCTCACAGCTGCTCTGTTACTCTCAGAGCTGCTCTGTTCACTCTCAGAGCTGCTCTGTTACCCTCACAGCTGCTCTGTTACTCTCACAGCTGCTGTTACTCTCAGAGCTGCTGTTACTCTCACAGCTGCTGTTACTCTTACAGCCGCTCTGTTACTCTCACAGCTGCTGTTACTCTCATAGTTGCTCTATTACCCTCACGGCTGCTGTTACTCTCACAGCCACTCTGTTACCCTCACAGCCACACTGTTTCTCTCACAGCTTGCTGTTACTCTCCCAGCTGCTCTGTTACTCTCAAAGCTGCTCTGTTACTCTCCCAGCTGCTCTGTTACTCTCCTAGCTGCTCTGTTACTCTCACAGCTGCAGCTGCTCTGTTACCCTCACAGCTGCTGTTACTCTCACAGCTGCTGTTACTCTCACAGCCACTCTGTTACTCTCACAGCCACGCTGTTTCTCTCACAGCTTGCTGTTACTCTCACAGCTACTGTTACTCTCACAACTGCTTTTCCACCAGTGCTATCATCTTAGCGCGCTCTTCTCTGGCTCCAGGATGGTCCGGCGAGTGGCCGTGATAGGAGCTGGGGTGAGTGGCCTGTCCTCCATCAAATGCTGCCTGGATGAGGGCCTGGAGCCCACCTGCTTTGAGAGGAGCAAGGACTTCGGGGGACTCTGGAAGTTCACTGTGAGTACTGGGCACCCGCTGCCTCCATGCAGCCTAAGCCAGTCCATGATTTCTCCAGACCAGGCACCAGGGCCATCCCCCACAAGTGTGGGGAAAGGTCACATGGCTCGCAGACATGAGGGGTGCAGAGATGGCGCGAGCTGGGTGTCAGGGGATGAACTTCTGGGTGGGGAGGAGTGGAGGAAAACGCTTAGTCTGGGAGCCTGGGGTGGGAGCAGCTGTGGGATTTCCAGACTGAGGACATTCTAAAACTCCGGAGCAGGCCAGAGCAATAGCACAGTGGGAAGGGCGTTTGCCTTGCACGCGGCCAACCTGGGGTTCAATTCCCAGCATCCCATGCGGTCCCAAGCACCGCCAGAAGTGATTCCTGAGTGCATGAGCCAGTAGTAACCCCTGAGCATCGCTGCGTATGACCCAATAAGGCAAAAAAAAAAAAAGTAAAACTCTGGGACAATGTGTCCATTGAATAGATGCCGTTGGTGTGTACGGAGCAGCCGTTACTTTGGAGAACAGAAATGTTGGAAGTATCAGAATAAGGCAACAGCCCAGACCTTGGGCTGATACAGGGACTGTGATTGAAACTACACAGAGACAAGAAAGGGAAAAATCAGCCAGGAGCCCCCCTGGGCCGAGGCGAGAGGAGGCGGCGCAGAGCATGAGTGGAAGGAGGGTGACCCATGGAAGGACAGAAGTGACGTTCAGAGTGACGTTCAGGAAAACATTTGGGGAAGCTGTTTGCTGGCTCTTTTGAAGGTAGGCACGCAGATAGGAGAGGGAATTTCTCTCTATAGCGGTGGAATTTCTGAGAAGTAATAAATCCGAGAGCCCCGAAGTTGTAAGAATTAAAACTGAAGCCTGGGGCTGGAGCAATAGCACAGCGGGTAGGGCGTTTGCCTTGCACGCTGCCGACCCAGGTTCGATTCCCAGCATCCCATATGGTCCCCCGAGCACTGCCAGGAGTAATTCCTGAGTGCAGAGCCAGGAGAAACCCCTGAGCATTGCTGGGTGTGACCCAAAAAGCAAAAAAAAAAAAAAAACACTGAGGCCTGATAAGATCTTCCTGGTGTCAGTGACAGAGGCTGAGGAGGCAGGACCCCACAAATTACTGCAGAGACAGAGGCTTCAGTTAAGGACCTGAAGGTGATTTATGACACCCTCACCCCTGCCAGAGAAACTCCAGGCCAAGGCAACCGCCCTTGGCAACCACCCTAGCAATGAACTCTTACCCAGCTAGAAAGTTCTACGTCGGGGGCAGGTTGGAGAAACCCGATAAACGCCACCTTGAACGAAGGAAAGACACACCTCAGCTGTCCGAGCCCAAGTGCTGCTTGTGCCCAGGTGGCATCCGAGCACATGTGTCACCTGAATACATGTCGCCCGCATCTCCCCTCTTGAGATGCGGATTGGGACTCTCTCTGCCTTTGGAGAAGCATTACTCCCTTGAGTGCATTACTCACTCTCCGTTTCCTTTCTTCCTTCCACTCCCTCAGAATCTCTCCAATTAAATCTTATTTTTTTTTTATTACATTGCTTATCTACTCCTGAAGTCTTTTTTTTCTGCAAGACGGGGCAAAGTACTTGGGTACCCTGGGCAAGACCAAGGACTGAACTCAAGGACTGAACGCTAGCCTTTATCAGTCCTCGACTTCCCAGCTGGTCCCCTGGTGGAAGAGGCAGATGGAGAGAAAGTGACCATCCCTCTCCTCACCGCCTCACCGAAGCCACCCAGGGGGCCCCTCTGACTTCACTTTGGTGCCCGAGAGAAGGGTACATTCGGTGATTCCATTCCCACTAGTGGCTTCTGGCCAGCACGGCATGGGAACTCACGGCTCAGCTCTTTGGGGTGGTTATAGGATAATATTGGTTTGTCCTTTCCCTTAGCCACAGGGAGATTAGGTTTATTGGGTTACTCCCATCACAGTGCTCCCATTCCTCTGTGTTTATTTGTAACCTCTTTCTTTGTGCTCTGTTAGCTGGTAAATATTGTTTATCTCTGCTCCTTAAGTCCTTTGCATAGTTAATTCAGAGCAACACCCTTTTGTTTTGTCCCCTCTCGGAGAGCCCGGCAAGCTACCCAGAGTATCTCGCCCACACGGCAAAGCCTGGCAGGCTACCTGTGTTGTATTCAATATGCCAGACACAGTTAACAACAAGTCTCACAATGGAGACGTTACTGGACCCACTCGAGCAAATTGATGAACAATGGGAGGACAGTGACAGTGACAATGTCCTTTTTGTATGAACACAAGAAGACAGTTAATACTATGTTTTCTTTTTTTTTTGCTTTTTGGGTCACACCTGGCGATGCACAGGGGTTCCTCCTGGCTCTGCACTCAGGAGTTACTCCTGGCGGTGCTCAGGGGACCCTATGGGATGCTGGGAATCGAACCCGGGTCGGCCGCGTGCAAGGCAAACGCCCTACCCGCTGTGCTATCTCTCCAGTCCCTGTACTATGTTTTCTTAACTTGGGAGTTAATTGACTCCGAATGATATTGACTTCCTGGACATCTGTTCTCTCGACTTAAGCCTCAGCTGCCCTTATTTCCTAGAACCCCCAAAACAGGGTCCTGATGAGGGACTGAATGGACCCAGGGCAAGCTGTGAGCTATGTACTACCCTGGCATCGAAATGGGCTTGGTCAAAGTGCGATAATGCTTAACTCTAAGTTAAGATCATGGTCACGGACAAATGCTGTCATGATCCAAAAAGCAATAACTAGATTCGGACCCTGCTAGGGTTAGGAAAGATTAATCCGGCCTGAGCACTGTAGTCTGAGTCTGTGGCGAGATGTTCCCAGGAGAGCCGCCCTACAAGCCTCCATGTACCTCTGACTGTGTCCCTACAAAATAACGAATATTAAGAAGTAGAATTAAGATGTGAATTAAGATGTTGATTAAGTTGTTGGACCGAGGAGAAGAGGAACAGCCCTAGGTGGTGTTTTCGCCCTTGAACCTGATGGGCATCGGAAAGGGCTTATGTTGATTTTGCTACCTGACTGGGTGTCTAGCCCCAATGCTGAAGAGCTGGAGAGACGAGAGAGTAGGAGGGAGATGAGAGAGAGAGAGAGAGAGAGAGAGAGAGAGAGAGAGAGAGCAGGGCAGCAAGATGGAGCACAGAGAGATGAGCAGAAGAGACAGAAGGAGATGGGAATGAGGGGCAGCGTGAGACTAAAACGGGGTCTTAGACTGGAACAGGTGTTGTGTAGGATGGAATAAACGGTAACTGATCAACCAACGGGTTGGCCCTCATTTCCTCCTCCATCATCCCCAGGGCAGGGGCCACCCCAGCTTGGGGGGAGGGGCGGCCCGAGACCACCCAACCCACGCAGCTTGGGGAGAGCCACCTGGGCCCTCCCTAGCCGCCTGGGGACTATACAGTGACAAGCAGCCCTCTCTGGACTGGGCGAGCACAGACCTGCTCTCTGTGTTCCCAAGTTAACGCCACTCCCCCCCACCCCAGGACAGTTCTGAGGATGGAATGACCAGAGTGTACAGGTCACTGGTGACCAACGTCTGCAAGGAAATGTCATCTTATAGCGACTTCCCCTTCCACGAGGACTATCCCAACTTCATGAGCCAAGAGAAGTTCTGGAACTATCTCCGAGAATTCGTGGAACACTTTGACCTTCTGAAATACATTCGTTTCCAGGTAAGACCCTGGGGACGCAAAAGGGTAATAGTGGGGGGCGGGGGCAGGGCTGCCTATTAATCAGGTTCATGGAAAGAGGGCTTAGATAATTTTTCTGGTATTGATCTTCATAACAATGGGGCAGACAAGCTCACCTGTGCACAATGTCTCATGAGCATACTGAATGTCTGTTTTGCTTTGTTTTGTTTTGTTTTGTTTTGGACTATACCTGGCGATGCTCAGGGGTTACTCCTGGCTCTGTGCTCAGGAACCACTCCTGGCTGGCTTGGGGGACCATGTGGGGTGCCGGAGATCGAACCCAGATCAGCAGCATGTAAGGCAAATGCCCTCCCCCCTAGACTCTCCAGCCCCCAGAACTGGAAATTCTTGATTTCATCTCGAAATCCATCTTCTGGATCAGAATAAAATTTGATTTTTTTAAAAAAGGACAAGATGGGGCCGGAGTGATAGCACAGTGGAGAGGGTGTTTGCCTTGCATGCGGTCGACCAGGGTTCAATCCCCGGCATCCCATATGGTTCCCTGAGCACCACCAGGAGTGATTCCTGAGTGCAGAGCCGGGAGGAAACCCTGAACATCGCTGGGTGTGACCCCTCCCAAAAAAAAACAAAATTAAATTAAATTTAAAAAGGGACGAGATGTATGAACCTTGTTTAAGAAACCTATACGAAAGAAAGGGTCAGAAGTCTGAGCTACAGAAATAATCATAGATCAAAAATTTCTTTTCCTAAGGGAGCTCAGATAGAGAAGGGAGCACCAAGTAAAGGGTGTTGGGAGGATCCTCCCAGGATGGGAGAAGCATGCTGAAAGTAGACTCTAGACCAAACATGATTGCCACTCAATGCCTCTTTTGCAAACCACAGCACCCAATGGGAGAGAGAGAGAACAAAAGGGAATGCCCTGCCACAGAGGCAGGGTGGGGTGGGGGGATAGGGGGTGGGAGGGATACTGGGATCCATGGTGGTGGGAAATGGGCACTGGTGGAGGGATGGGTATTTGGTCATTGTATAATTGAAACCCAAGCACAAAAATTTGCAAGTCTACAACTGTACCTCATGGTGTCTCACTAATAAAAATTAAATTTAAATAAATAGATAAATAAATAAAATTTTCTTTTCCTGGGGTATAAACTATAGTACAGTGGGTAGGGTGTTTTCCTTGCACGCGGCAGACCTGAGTTTGATCCCGACATCCCATATGGTCCCCCGAGCACCGCCAGGAGTAATTCTTGAGTGCAGAGCCAGGAGTAACCCCTGTGCATCGCCAAGTGTGATCCAAAAAAGAAAAAAATAATAATTCTTTTTCTAAATTCTTCCAAGGCCTCAGGTATGGTAATTGGCTTCCTCTGACCCTGAAATAAAAACTGAGAGTTGGTTAGAACGATAGTACCATGGGGAGGGCCCTTTCCTTGCATCCCCAAGACCTGAGTGCAGAGCCAAGAGTGAGCCCTGAGCATCACCAGGTGTGGGCCCAAAACAAACAAATTAAATAACAACAACAACAAAACCTTGAACATTTCTGTATTCCCTGCAAATAGGGCTTCTTCTGTGTATGGGGGTCCTAAGCTAGAGAACCACTTTTAAGATTTTGACCAGGGCCGTTGCGATAGCCCAGCAGGTAGGGTGTTTGCCTTGCATACGGCCGACCCAGGTTCAATCCCTGGCATCCCATATGGTCCCCCAGCACTGCCAGGAGTAACCCCTTGAACATTGCTGGATGTGACCCAAAAAGTAACTGTCACTGTAGCACTGTCCTCCCGTTGTTCATCGATTTGCTCGAGTGGGCCCAGTAACATTGTGAGACTTGTTACTGTGTTTGGCATATCGAATACGTCATGGGTAGCTACCCAAAAAGCAAAAGAAAAAAATAAGATTTTGACCAAGTACCTGAGATCTCTAGGGAGAAGGTCCATCAATCAGTGGCAAACTTGCTTATGTGACCTGAGTCGTGTGACCCGTGGGCACTCTGAAGTATGGCTACCGTTGATTGAGGAGCCCAGGGAAGAGTGATGGGAAGAGTTTGTCTTGCTTCCAGACCACAGTACGCAGCATCACCAGGCGTCCAGACTTCACTGAAACCGGCCAGTGGGAGGTGGTCACAGAGAGAGAGGGCAAGCAGGACCAAGCTGTCTTCGACGCGGTGATGGTGTGCACGGGACATTACATGAGCCCTCACTTACCTTCCTTCCCCGGTGAGTGTGTCCACCTGACACCAGGCTAGTTCTCTTGGGTTCTCCAAACAGTTGCAGTTGCGTTTCCCACGTTGGAGCAATGCGTTGGAATTTAAAACATGGGGGAGGGATGATGGGAGGGACCCCGGGGACCCTGGTGCTGGGAATTGTGCCCTGGTGGAGAGGCGGGTGTTGGGACACTGTATGACTGAAACCCGACCGTGAACAGCTTTGCAATGGTCTGTCTCACAGTGATTCATTAAAAAGTTGATTAATCTGGGGCTGGGGCTATAGTACAGCTGGTAAGGCGTTTGCCTTGCAAGCAGCCAATGTAGGTTTGATCCTCGGCATCCCATAAGGTTCCCCAAGCACTGCCAGGAGGAGTAGTTCCTGAGTGCAGAACAAGGACTAACCCCTGAGCACTGCCGGGTATGACCTCCCCCCAAAAATAAAAGCGAAAAAAATTGATTAATTAAATATATATAATTTTTTTAAATAATTAAAAATGTAGGGAAGGGGGAACAGGGGAATTCCAGGAATACTTAATGGTAACTCTCCCAACACATACACACACACATTCTCTCTCTCTCTCTCTCTCTCTCTCTCTCTCTCTCTCTCTCTCTCTCTCTCTCCCTAAGTCTGGTTCCCCAGACTCACCCCTAGGCAGAATTTTGAAACAAACTCTATGATGTTAGTTGATATTTCATATGAATTTGTTGAATGAAACCAGATAGCTGTTCATCTTCAATGAAAACAATCTGGAAGGATTAGAAATAGGTGATCAGAGCAGCCTGGGGGCTTCTGACAGCCCCCAGCCCCAAAACGCTGGTTTTAAAGACAATGTGGGAGCCGGAGCAGTAGTCCAGCAGGGAAGGCGTTGGCCTTGCACACGGCCGACCCAGGTTCGATCCCAGCATCCCATAGGGTCCCCCGAGCACCATCAGGAGTGATTCCTGAGTGCTGAGACAGGAGTGAGCCCTCAGCATCACCGGGTGTGACCCCAAAAGCACTGTCACTGTCACTGTCCTCCCGTTGTTCGTCGATTTGCTCAAGCGGGCCCAGTAACGTCTCCATTTTGAGACTTGTTGTCACTGTGATTGGCATATTAAATACGTCACGGGTAGCTTGCCAGGCTCTGCCGTGCGGGCGAGATACTCTCGGTAGCTTGCCGGGCTCTCCGAGAGGGGCGGAGGAATCGAACCTGGTTCTGCCGGGCTGGCTGTGCACAAGGCAAACGCCCTACCACTGTGCTATCGCTCCAGCCCCACCCTAAAAGCAAAATTACAATAAATAAATAGGGGCTAGAGCGATAGCACAGAGGGTGCGGCCAACCTGGGTTCGATTCCCAGCATCCCATAGGGTCCCCTGAGCACCACCAGAGGTAATTCCTGAGTGCAGAGCCAGGAGTAACCCTTGGGCAATGCCAGGTGTGACCCAAGAAGCCAAATTAATTAATTTAATTAATTAAAACACTGTGGCATTTTCATAGTAAAAGTCACCTCACTGTGGGGCTTGGGGATCCTCACGGTTCCCAGCACCCCCCGATTCTGCCCCCCCACACACACCCTACAGTGCAACCTCTCTCTAAATTCTGTCTCAGACTATCATTTTCATGACACAAGGTAGAGGCCATCTAGTTTGGTGGTTAAAACTGTCTACACAATTGTACCTCATGGTGTTTTACTAATAAAAATTTAAAAAAAAAAAACTGTCCACAGAGGGGCCAGAGCGATAGCACAGCGGCTGACCCGGGTTCGATTCCCAGCATCCCATAGGGGCCCCCGAGCACCACCAGGAGTGACTCCTGAGTGCAGAGCCAGGACTCAGCCCTGAGCACCTCCGGGTGGGACCCCAAAGACAGCAGCAGAAAGACCATCCACAGCCCCTCTGTCCGCCCACTGACGAAGGCCAGCTTTAAGATTTCTGATTTTTGTATCTTCCCATCCTTTCTCTCCAGGAATGCATAAGTTCAGAGGCCAGGTCCTGCACAGTCAGGAATACAAGACCCCAGAAGGCTTCCAGGGCAAGCGCGTGCTGGTGATCGGGCTGGGGAACACAGGAGGGGACATCGCTGTGGAACTCGGGCGGTCCGCAGCTCAGGTAATGCCATCTCTGTCCCTCCCTGATGCCACCTGTGTGTGCTGAGAGGGGCTGCAGGATTATCAGACTCTCTGGTCTCTTGCTCAGTCAAGCGGACACCGTGTGTGTGATTGTCGGAGCCCTGAAGACCCCCAAAGCCACTGGTCCTCCTCTCTGAACTGCTTAGAACACATTTTTGCAGAAACCAACCTTGTCTGGGGCTGGAGCGATAGCACAGCGAGTAGGGCGTTTGCCTTGCACGCGGCCGACCCGGGTTCGATTCCCAGCATCCCATATGGTCCCCTGAGCACCGCCAGGAATAATTCCTGAGTGCAGATTCAGGAGTAACCCCTGAGCATCGCTGGGTAGCACTGTAGCACTGTTCATCGATTTGCTTGAGCAGGCACCAGTAACGTCTCACTACAAATTGTTGTTACTGTGTTTGGCATATCGAATACATCACGGGGAGCTTACCAGGCTTTGCTGTGTGGGCGAGATACTCTCGGTAGCTTGCTGGGCTCTCTGAGAGGTACGGAGGAATTGAACCCAGGTTGGCTGTGTACAAGGCAAATGCCCTACCCGCTATGCTATCGCTCCAGCCCCATTGCTGGGTGTGACCCAAAATGAAAAAAAAAGAAACCAACCTTTTCCAAGAAGGGTCCCTGAAACTCTGTAGATGTTGGACCCTTGGCTCACTTCCAGGACGCTGTTAAAAGGGCAAATTGCTCTCCGTCTCTGCCTTCCTTCTTCTTTGCTTTCCGTTTGCAATTCCAGCAAACTCTCATGCAAAACCAGAGAAAGACAGGCGGATTTTCAGAATACCTGCAAGTCGGGTGGGTGCCCTGTTTTCCGATCAAAGCAACCAGAGCTTGGCCAAAGAAGCAGACAGCAAGATTCGAGAAGGTCCGAAGTCACAACTTTGCAACCTCTTCTGCTTGACCATCATTCGAGTTGTGTTCTCAGGGCTAGACCGTTAGCTCCAGGCCCTGGAGCGCAGGTGTGGGTTCTGGAAATAAGGATTTGAGCCAAAACATTACCCATTGCCCCCAACACAGTCAGGAATGATTCTGGAGCACTAAATCAGGGTTAGGCCCTCTGCACCCCCAGGTGTGGCCCCCAAAATAAGAATAAATAAATCTATGGACCGGAGCAAAAGTAGACCAAGTAGGATGCTGGCATGGCATGATGCCAACCCAGCTGTGCTCCCTGGAACCCTTCTGGTACCCCAGGCCTGCCACCAGTGATCCCGGAGTGCAGAACCAGGAAAAAGCCCTGAGCACTGCCAGATGTGACCCTAAAACAAAGCAAAACTAAAGAAATAAATCTTTTTTTTTTCTTTTTGGGTCACACCCGGAGATGCGCAGGGGTTCCTCCTGGCTCTGCACTCAGGAATCACTCCCGGCGGTGCTTGGGGGATCTTATGGGATGTTGGGAATCGAACCTGGGTTGGCTGCATGCAAGGCAAATGCCCTCTCTGTTGTGCTATCGCTCCAGCCCCCAAAATCTAATTTTTAAACCTTCCTATAAATACTGTGTTATTTACATATTAAGGTAAAGGTAAAGGCCCTCCCGTTGATCGTCGATTTGCTCGAGCGGGCCCAGTAACGTCTCCTTTGGAGACTTTGTTGTTACTGTGTCTGGCATATCGAATACTCCAGATCAGGGGTTGGAGCGATAGCACAGCGGGTAGGGCATTTGCCTTGCACGCAGCTGACCTGGGTTCGATCCCTAGCATCCCATATGGTCCCTCAGGCGCCAGGAGTAATTCCTGAGTGCAGAGCCAGGAGTAACCCCTGAGCATCGCTGGGTGTGACCCCCCCCCCAAAAAAAGAGTGATGATTCTATCCTTCTTGTCTTACTTTTCAGGTACTTCTCAGTACTAGAACTGGTACCTGGATCCTTAGCCGAGACTCCCATGGGGGTTACCCGTATAATATGATGATTACAAGAAGATATCTGAATTTTATTTTTCAAATGCTGCCTCCGTGTGTTCTAAAGCGGATTCAAGAGAAACAGAGGAGTAAAAGATTTAACCATGAGATTTACGGATTGAGTATTACCAGGGGGTACTTAACGTTTTTATTAATCTAATGCTGCGATGATTGACTCCATGTCACTAATTCTATGTGATTTGCAACAGTAGCTGCTTGCTTGTTGGAAATGTGCCTTTGTGCTCTTTTAGACTTTCTGAAGACATTGTCCCTTAAGGGACCACAGCGTTTCTTGTGACTTTTTTTTTATTAGTGAAACACCATGAGGTACAGTTGTAGACTTACAAATTTTTGTGCTTGGGTTTCAGTTATACAATGATCAAGTACCCATCCCTCCACCAGTGCCCATTCTCCGCCACCATGGATGGGTCCCAGTATCCCTCCCACCCCCCCCATCCCCCCCATCCCACCCTGCCTCTGTGGCAGGACATTCCCTTTTGTTCTCTCTCTCCTTTTGGGTGCTGTGGTTTGCAAAAGAGGCATTGAGTGGCAAACATGTTCAGTCCATAGTCTACTTTCAACATGCATCTCCCCTCCTGGGAGGATCCTCCAAACACCCTTTATTTGGTGCTCCCTTCTCTATCTGAGCTGCCCTTTCCCCTAGAATGCCCGGCTGGCCACTAAGCTATGGAGTAATCCTCCTGGTGCTGATCTCAGCTATTCTTGGGTATTAATCTCCTATTTTGTTACTTTATATCCCCCAGATGAATGCAATCTTTCTATGTCTATCCCTCTCTTTCCGACTCATTTCGCTTAGCATGATACTTTCCATATTGTACCACTTGTATGTAAATTTCATGACTTCATCTTTTCTAACAGCTACATAGTACTCCAGTGTGTAGATGTACCAAAGTTTCTTTAACCAGTCATCTGTTCTTGGGCGCTCCGTATTTTTCCAGATTCTGGCGGTTGTAAAGAGTGCTGCAATGAGGTTCTTGTGACTCTTGAGATTCAAAGTCATCATTCATTGCAGTTAAGGGCAAATGAAGAATGACAATTTTTCTTTCCCTGCCTGGAGATGGGGACATTTATTATTGACTTTAGGTCAGAAAGAGATCAGCTGAGCACAGGCCAGCCTGGCACTGCATGGTTTAATGATCACAGAGCCAAGAGGAACCCCTGAGCACTGTCGGGCGTGACCCCCAAACCAAAAGGAAAGTTAAAACAGGAGCTGGAGCGATAGCCCAGGGTACAGGGCACTTGCCTTGCATGCAGCCGACCCAGGTTCGATTCCCAGCATCCCACGTGGTCCCCTGAGCATCGCCAGGAGTGATTCCTGAGTGCAGAGCCAGGAGTAACCCCTGAGCATCGCCAGGTGTGGCCCCAAATCGAAAAATTGAAAAATAGACGGTTGTCTATTCTGACTCAGAGAAGAAAGCATTGCTCTGGAAGTTGATTCCAAATAATAATAATAATAATAATAATAATAATAATAAGGTAAAAGGTAAAGGCCCTCCCGTTGATCATCGATTTGCTCTAGCGGACCCAGTAACGTCTCCATTGGAGACTTTGTTGTTACTGTGTCTGGCATATCGAATACTCTCGGTAGTTTGCCGGGCTCTCCGAGATAATAATAATAAATCCCAGGCAGAGAGGAAGGAACTCAGGACTGGACTGCTGGGAGCTGAGAATCTAAACAGGAATGAATGAGTGAATCCAGTCAAGGGCAGGTTCTCACTTAGAAATTGCTCCCAGGGCTGGAGCGATAGCACAGAGGGGAGGGCATTTGCCTTGCATGCGACCAACTCAGGTTCGATTCCCAGCATCCCATAGGATCCCCCAAGCACCACCACGAGTAATTTCTGAGTGCATGAGCCAGGAGTAAACCCTGTGTGACCCAAAGAAAAGCAAAAAGAAAGAAAGAAAGAAAGAAAGAAAGAAAGAAAGAAAGAAAGAAAGAAAGAAAGAAAGGAATTACTCCGCTCCCCTCCCTATGCTCTGCCAGCTAATTACTCCGAATGGGCCAAATGAACCGTTGTTGGAGGCGTCCCGTGGCTTGGGTGATGCTGAGTGCTTTTCTGGGTCTCCAGGAAAAAGCCCAAAGTCATCATTAACGACGAGCTTCCGACTTGCATCCTCTGTGGTGTGGTGGCCATGAAGGCCGGCGTGAGGGAGTTTGGCACTACGTCGGTGGTCTTCGAGGATGGCTCCGAGGAGCAGGTTGACGCCGTGATCTTCGCCACGGGCTACAACTTCTCCTTCCCATTTCTGGAGGAGCCTCTGCAAAGCCTCTGTGCCAAGAAACTGTTTCTGCACAAGTTCGTCTTCCCCGTAAGCCTGGACAGACCCACGCTGGCCATCATCGGTCTCATCGGCCTCCAAGGGTCCATCCTGGCCGGCACGGAGCTCCAGGCTCGATGGGTCACCAGGGTATTCAAAGGTAAGTGGGGGACTGGAGCGACAGCACAGCGGGGAGGGCGTTGGCCTTGCACATGGCCGACCCGGGTTCGATTCCCGGCATCCCATAGGGTCCACCGAGCACCACCAGGAGGGATTCCTGAGTGCAGAGCCAGGAGTCAGCCCTGTGAATTGCCAGGTGTGACCCCCCAAAAAAACAAAGGTAAGTGGGCCCTGTCAGTGGAGGGTGGAGGAATGCATTTGGGGGGTCCCTGGCTCTGGTTCTGACATTGAGTGTCTCCCATGAACCCTGCCGGTAGGGAAAAAAGTGCTGGGCCCCAGAGTGATAGTACAACGAGAAGGGTGCTTGCTTTGCAAGCAATAACTCCCTAACATCTCATATGGTCCTGTCAGGAGTGAATCCTGAGCACAGAGCCAGGAGTAAGTCCTGAGCACAGTGGGGTGTGCACCCCCCCCAAATAAAGATAATAGCTAACGCCTTGTGATTTTTTTTTTTTTTTTGCTTTTTGGCTCACACCTGGTGATGCACAGGGCTTCCTCCTAGCTCTGCACTCAGGAATCACTCCTGGCAGTGCTCAGGGGACCCTATGGGATGCTGGGAATCGAACCCGGCTCGGCTGCGTGCAAGGCAAACCCCCTACCCTCTGTGCTATCACTCCAGCCCCTAATGCCTTGTGATTTAGCTAAGCGCAAGCCGATGTCTGGTAAAAGGCTACATAAAATACTGAAAAAAAGAGAAAAAAATGTGGGGGATGTTGTTCAGCACTAGTGCATTGCTTGTGTGAGGTCTCGAGTTAAATCCTGACACCACAAAGAAAAATTGCGTTTGTAGGAGTCCAGAAAAATAGGACAGCAGGGAGAATGTTTGCCTTGCCTTGCATGCAGCCGATCCCAGCTCAATCCCCGACATCCCATAGGGTCACCCAAACACTGCCAGGAGTGATTCCTGAGTGCAGGGCCAGGAGTCAGCCCAGAGCATCACCAAAAAATAAACAAGAAAAATTACATTTGTATTATTAAACTGGGCTGGAGCGATAGCACAGTGGTAGGGCGTTTGCCTTGCACACAGCCAACATGGCCAACTCGAGTTCGATTCCTCCGTCCCTCTCGGAGAGCCCGGCAAGCTACCAAGAGTATCTCACCCGCACGGCAGAGCCTGGCAAGCTACCCATGATGTATTCGAGATGCCAAACACAGTAAAAACAAGTCTCATGATGGAGACGTTACTGGGCCCACTCGAGCAAATTGATGAACAACGGGAGGACCGTGACCGTGATTATTAAACTGTAAATCACAGCTACAAGTGAGCCAACCAGTTAGCCTTCAGAGGATTTTGTCCTTAATAAAAACAGTCACCTGCATTTTATAAGTAACTGCTTCAATGCTGAGTCAGAGGTAGGAGGACTGGGGAATGGTTGGAATCAGCCACAAGTGTGTGTGGCGCGAAGGATAGGTCAGATAGAGAAGGATGACAGTAATAGCTGGAAAGGATCACACTACACAAGAACTGAATAATCAAAATAGGCGAAGGGATATACCAGATAAACTTTCACTATCTATATGGCTTTTATTTCTTTACAGACAATAGAAGTGTGTCTGGGTCACTGATTGATAATATTAAAACTTCAGAGGATGGTTTAGTACCTTTTTTGATCTTAAGGAGTATATGGCAGGGCTGGAGCGATAGTACAGTGGGCGGGGGGAAGCATTTGTCTTGCACGCGACCAGCCCGGGTTCGATTCCCAGCATCCCATAGGGTCCCCCGAGCACCGCCAGGGATGATTCCTGAGTGCATGAGCCAGAAGTCAGCCCTGAGCATCGCCAGATGTGACTCATCCACCAGCCCCAAAAAATAAAACTCAAAAATAGAAAGTATATCAAGGGGCTAGAGTGATAGCACAGAGGGTAGGGCTTTTGCCTTGCACGCGTGACCAGCCTGGGTTCGATTCCCAGCATCCCATAGGGTCCCCCGAGCACCGCCAGGAGTAATTCCTGAGTGCATGAGCCAGGAGGAACCCCTGTGCGTCGCTGGGTGTGACGCAAAAAAAAAAAAAGGAGTATACAATAAGGTGGAACATGTTTTAAATCATTACAGAGTTAAATCTTTACAGAACAAAGCCCTCCTGGTCACACCCGGAAGTCACAGAGTTATTAATTCAACCAGATCGCAAACAGCACTGAAGAATATGAAAGAAATCAGAAATATTACCACAATCAAATATATGGCCGTAGCTTCTAATAGTTGGTTGGGGGGGGGGGGGGCGCAGGCTGCCAACTGGGCCTGGGGCACTGACCCCTCGCCTCAACAGTTCTTTGGTCCCGTTGGTGTGGGGGAAACCCACCCTCCACCCCCCAATCCTATTCAGAGCTGGCACTCTTGCCACTCATGCGTCACTGAGGCGGAGAAGGAGAAGCTCATGGGAAAAATTTGACCCTTATCTCTCATCTTCTCCACAGGACTCTGCTCCATCCCCCCGGCCCCCAAACTGATGGCGGAGGCAACCAAGAAGCTGCAACTCATAGAAAGGTATAAGGGATCTGGAGCAATAGCACAGCGGGAAGGGCGTTTGCCTTGCACGCGGCTGACCCGGGTTCGAGCCCTGGCATCCCATAGGGTCCCTTGAGCACTGCCAGGAGTGATTCCTGAGTGCAGAGCCAGGAGTCAAGCCCTGAGCATCGCCAGGTGTGACTCACCCGCCCCCGTGCCCCCGCACACCGACACACACTCACACAAGACAGGGGTTTCTGCAGGAAAACCCCCTGTAAGATCTACCACAATCGGGGCTGGAGCGATAGCACAGTGGGGAGGGTATTTGTCTTACATGCGGCCGACCCGGGTTCGATTCCTCCGCCCCTCTCGGAGAGCCTGAAAAGCTACCGAGAGCATCCCGCCCGCACAGCAAAGCCTGGCAAGCTCCCCGTGACGTATTCGAGATTCCAAACACAGTAACAAGTCTCACAATGTTACTGGGCCCGCTCGAGCAAATCGATGAACAACGGGAGGACAGTGACAGTGACAGTCCTGGGAACAGAGAAATAGGACAGTGTGTGTGTGTGTGTGTGTGTGTGTCTGCGTGTGTCTGCGTGTGTCTGTGTGTGTGTGGCTGGGTTTGGGGGGGAATCAGCCGCAGCATGGAGCCAGGAGTAGCCCCCAAGGATGACCTCAGAGAACCCCAGGGTGCCAAGGGAGCCCTATTTTTCTTCCCAGCGGCGCCATAGAAGATACCTCACAGGACAAGCTCAACTTCATCAGCTACCTGGACGAGCTGGCCACCTGCATCGGCGCCAAGCCCAGCCTGCTTCTCTTCCTCAGCGACCCCAGGCTGGCCTGGCATGTTTTCTTTGGGCCCTGCAGCCCATACCAATACCGCCTCCGGGGCCCTGGGAAGTGGGCTGGCGCCCGACGGGCCATCCTCACGCAGTGGGACAGAACCCTGAAGCCCCTGCAGACCCGCAGAGTCCTGCCTGCCTCCGGGGGGCGCCCCTTCGGAGTCTGGGGCGCCTCCCTCCTGCTCGCCTCACTCCTGCTGCTCTGTCGGTCCTCTTCCTTCGTGGTTCTGCTGAGAGAGAAGCTGCAGGAGAGAATCTCCATGCAGCACCTGAGGATGTGGTGAGGCTCGGCCGGGGTGCCAGAGGTGGCTGTCTCAGAAGTTCGGCGCATCAGTTGGAGCCATCAGTTCCTCTGCCTCCTGACCTCCTTTGCAGTTCCCTGCAAGCTCAGGCTCCTCGTCCAGGGTGGAATGATAGAGCCATCAGTTCCTTTGTCTCCTGACCTCCTTTGCAGTTCCCTGCAAGCTCAGGCTCCTCTTCCAAGTGGAATAATGGAGCCATCAGCCAGCTCTACTGTCTCCCGACCTCCTTTGCAGTTCCCTACAAACTCAGGCTTCTCATCAAGGGGGAATGATGGAGTCATCAGCTCTTCTGTCTCCCAACCTCCTTTGCAGTTCCCTGCAAGCTCAGGCTCCTCGTCCAGGGTGGAATGATGAAGCCATCAGTTCCTCTCTCTCCGACCTCCTTTGCAGTTCCCTGCAAGCTCTAGCTTCTTGTTCAGGGTAGAATGATTGAACCATCAGATCCTCTGTCTCTTGGCCTCCTTTGCAGTTCCCTGCAAGCTCTGACTCCTCATCCAGGGTGGAATGATGGAATCATCAGTTCCACTGTCTCCCCGCCTCCTTTGCAGTTCCCTGCAAGCTCCGGCTCTTCGTCCAGGGTGGAATGATGAAGCCGTCAGTTCCACTGTCTCCCGACTTCCTTTGCAGTTCCCTGCAAGCTCAGGCCACCCATCGAGGGTGGAATAATTGAGCCATCAACTCTGTCTCTTGACCTTTTCCCCCACTCCCTGCCAAGCCACCTGGCATGCTTCTCTACCACCTTTGCCTTACTCTTCAAGGCCAAGACGTGGCCACTTTCATGAGATGGCACTGCAGTGAAGTGGTCTGTGGCCTTGGGAACATAGAAATGATATCAAAAGGGTCGGAGCTACTGCTGAGAAATCAGAGGGCTGAGGGGAGACCCCGGAGGCAGACGAGACGGGCTGGAGTTTGGAGGGTGTTTGCTTGGTACACGGCCGACCTGGGTGCCCTGAGCACCACCAAGAGTGATTCCTGAGCACAGAGCATCACTGGGTGTGACTTGAAATCAATCAAACAAACAAAGAAACAAATACAAAGCTAGCAGCGAGAATGTTCTCTTACCATCTAGAGTCTAACTAGGCAAAGAAGGGACCAGAGCAATAGTCCAGCGGGGAAGGCTTTGCCTTGCAAACAGCTGCCCCGGGTTCGATCCCCAGCATCCCATAGGGTCCCCCAAGCACCGCCAAGAGTAATTCCTGAGTGCAGAGTCAGGAGTCAGCCCTGAGCATGGTTGGGTGTGACCCAAAAGCCATAAAAAAAAAAAAGGTTAAAGTTCTCACCTCGCACCTGGCTGACCCCAGCTCAATGCCAGACACTGTGTGGTCCCCTGAGCATCACCAGGAACAAGCTCCCAGCCCCAGCACTGAGCCAGGAATAGCCTCTCAGCATGATCACGCATGCCCCGTCTCTAGAAGGAAGGATCCAGGAACTGTGTCCTTCAGCTGACAGGGGGAGACAGCCTGTGTCAGCCCAAGTGCAGAGCTGAGGGCGGTAAACTCCTTACACCCGTTTGTCTGTCTGTCTGTCTGTCTGTCTGTCTCTCTCTCTCTCTCTCTGCCTCCTCTCTCTCTCTCTCTCTGTGTCTCTCTCTCTCTCTCTCTTCCTGCCACCCCGTTGTCAAGGCACCAAAGAAAAACTCAGAGATTAAAGTTAGCACGTTCTTTTTGTTTTATTATGCAAACACAGCCGAACCCCGGTCAAAGATTCCATCATCACATTGACTATCCAGGTTCAAAGTGCATTTGGGATGGTGGGGGGGGGGGGGGGGCGGTGGTTAAGCAGGAGAAAGTTCCACAGGCTACAGGGCACCTCTGGCCTGTCCAGGGCCTGGAGGCCAGCCTGGCACTGTGGTATCCCTCACGGATTTCCATGGGGTGAAAAGCTCCCACTCTGAACCACGGCACAAAGGTCTCCTAAGCTGGGGGTCTTCTTGACTCAAGGGACTTTGGTGGACAAGGAAAGCCCCCCACCCCGAGTCTCTCTGCTCACAGAACTCAGGGGTCACTCCTGAGTTTATAGCCAGGAATAGCCCCAATGCATGGCTGGGGATCCCCCCACACACACACACACAAATCATTTGTGTAAGAGGTCAGTCAGGCGTGTGGGCTATTCTGGCTTATAAGAATTATAGCTGTGGCCTTTGTCCCCATGGCACGAGCAACCCAAAGCCCTTGGCACTCTGCTAAATTGATAAGCGCCACCAGATTGTATAATATCAAAGATCTCCCGGTGAAGAAATGGAGATTATATCTTAGCAGCTCACCGTCCACAATTTCTCATGTTTAAAGACGGCTTAAACGTGAATAATTTTTTTCCCATAAAAAAAAAAACCTTAAAGACTGGCAAGTAGCAGTTTTTAGCGAGAAACGCGTTTTTTCTGCCAGGGCTGTGCAAAGATCACATCTCTTTCTTCTCCAAGGTAACTGAAGCCGTTTCTACAAAAAGCCAGTGAACCGGAAGGAATGTTCTGTCTTCATTCCTAACTCACCATTTAGCCTTCTCAGGAGTTTTTTTCCTTTAAAACCGTCTTAGCCAGGAACCCCAGGCCACGCTCACTCACACAACACACACACACACACGCAACCCCACACTCAACTCCCACACACAACACACATTCAGTACACAACACTCACACTCCTCTCATACACACAACCACCCCACACACAACACACACAAGAGACGCAAGTTCCACACACAGCACACACACAACTCACACACACAACACAAAGGAGACACCAGTTACACACACAACACACACAAGAGACAGCTCCCACACACAACACACACATACACACACCTCACACACACTCCTCTCATACACACAACAACCCCACACACAACACACACAAGAGACGCAAGTTCCACACACAGCACACACACAACTCACACACACAACACAAAAGAAACACAAGTTACACACACAACACACACAAGAGACAGCTCCCACACATACACACACCTCACACACACTCCTCTCATACACACAACCACCCCACACACAACACACACGAGATGCAAGTTCCACACAAGTTACACACACAACACACATGAGACAGCTCCCACACACAACACACACATACACACACCTCACACACACTCCTCTCATACATACAACCACCCCACACACAACACACACAAGAGATGCAAGTTCCACACACAGCACACACACAACTCACACACACAACACAAAGGAGACACCAGTTACACACACAACACACACAAGAGACAGCTCCCACACACAACACACACATACACACACCTCACACACACTCCTCTCATACATACAACCACCCCACACACAACACACACAAGAGATGCAAGTTCCACACACAGCACACACACAACTCACACACACAACACAAAGGAGATACCAGTTACACACACAACACACACAAGAGACAGCTCCCACACATACACACACCTCACACACACTCCTCTCATACACACAACCACCCCACACACAACACACACGAGATGCAAGTTCCACACAAGTTACACACACAACACACATGAGACAGCTCCCACACACAACACACACATACACACACCTCACACACACTCCTCTCATACATACAACCACCCCACACACAACACACACAAGAGATGCAAGTTCCACACACAGCACACACACAACTCACACACACAACACAAAGGAGACACCAGTTACACACACAACACACACAAGAGACAGCTCCCACACACAACACACACATACACACACCTCACACACACTCCTCTCATACATACAACCACCCCACACACAACACACACAAGAGATGCAAGTTCCACACACAGCACACACACAACTCACACACACAACACAAAGGAGATACCAGTTACACACATAACACACACAAGAGACAGCTCCCACACATACACACACCTCACACACACTCCTCTCATACACACAACCACCCCACACACAACACACACAAGAGATGCAAGTTCCACACAAGTTACACACACAACACACACAAGAGACAGCTCCCACACACAACACGCACATACACTCACCTCACACACAACCACACACTACATACACCCCACACACAAGACACAAATTATACACAACACACACAAGTCCCACACACAACATACACATACACACCCCCATATACATTCCTTTCATTCTCATATACACACAACATCCCACACCCCCCCCACACAAGACAAGTCACACACAACACACACGACTCCCACACATTCTCCTCTCATCCACACACGATTCCTATACATATCCCACACACGACACACAAGTCCCACACAGAACACACACACCCCACGTGCACCCCTCTCATACACATACACCCCCCCACGCCCCACACAACAACTCACCTCACACACACAGCCCTCACATATGCACATACGCCAACACACAAACCATCAAATTCAGAGCCTGGAGCCAAATCACTACAGGCTCATGATCACTCTGCCACAGCTGAAAGTCTTGCATAGAAATGCAACGCCTGGGGCTGGAGCGATAGCACAGTGGGTAGGGCGTTTGCCTGCACGCAGCCAACATGGCTGACACAGGTTCGATTCCCAGCACCCCATATGGTCCCCTGAGCACTGCCAGGAGCAATTCCTGAGTGCAGAGCCAGGAGTAACCCCTGAGCATCGCCTGGTGTGACCCAAAAAGCAAAAAAAAAAAGAAGAAGAAGAAATGCAAAGCCACCACCCAAGGCTTGAGGCTGCGCTGGGGAGCCCACGGGAAACCAAAATCCAACAGACGTCTTTAAGGAAACCAGTTAAGACAGATGCAGAAGCCAAGTAAGCAGGAAAAAAGAGAAGGAAGAAGAAGAAGAAGAAGAAGAAGAAGAAGAAGAAGAAGAAGAAGAAGAAGAAGAAGAAGAAGAAGAAGAAGAAGAAGAAGAAGAAGAAGAAGAAGAAGAAGAAGAAGAAGAAGAAGAAGAAGAAGAAGAAGAAGAAGAAGAAGAAGAAGAAGAAGAAGAAGAAGAAGAGATTTTTTAAAAATTTAATTCATTTATATATTTGTTTTTGCTTTTTGGGTCACACCCAACGATGCACAGGGCTTCCTCCTGGCTTTGCACTCAAGAATCACTCCTGGCGGTGCTCAGGGGACCATATGGGATGCTGGGAATCGAACCCAGGTCGGCTGCATACAAGGCAAATGCCCTACCTGCTGTGCTATCGCTCCAGCCTCCCAAAGGGTTTTTTTTATGCATAAATTAACCCCCAAAGTAGCCTGAACCAAGTCCTCTGGAAGACAATGATACTGGGGACTCTGAAAGATGAGTGGAGCGTTATGGAGGAAGGAAAAGCAACAAGACAAGCTTGTGGGAATAAAGGAACAACAGGATTATTGCCTGGCCGTTGGTGGCAGAGGAGAGAGTTTCACGGACACGGAAGCCCACAGAGAAGCAGGGGAACTGTGGGGAGCTCAGGAAACGCCAGTTTAGTTTAGTTAGGGGCCAGGAGGGGAGTTCTGCCTTCGTTCTGCTCAATTAAGGAGCGTGTCCTTAGTTAGAGTCCAAAGTCCAGAGCTCTGGGGAGAGAGCACCCAAGATGTAAGCTGGGATGTTTGTTTGCTCAGAAAATACTTAGGGGGCTGGAGAGATAGCACAGCGGGTAGGGCGTTCGCCTTGCACGCGGCTGACCCGGGTTCGATTCCCAGCATCCCATGTGGTCCCCTGAGCACCGCCAGGAGTAACTCCTGAGTGCAGAGCCAGGAGTAACCCCTGTGCATCGCCAGGTATGACCCAAAAAATATAGCACAGCGGGTAGGGCGTTCGCCTTACAAGCGGCCAACATGGTCAACCCGAGTTCGATTCCTCCGCCCCTCTCAGAGAGCCCGGCAAGCTACCGAGAGTATTTGATATGCCAGACACAGTAACGACCCAAAAAAAGCAAAAAAAAAAAAAAAAGAAAGAAAGAAAATACTTAGGGGCTGGAGCGGGGAGGGCATTTACCTTATACGCAGTTAACCCGGGTTCGATCCCCGGCATCCCATAGGGTCCCCTGAGCACTGCCAGGAGTGGTTCCTGAGTGCAAAGCCAGGAGGAACCCCTGAGCATTGCTGGGTGTGACCCAAAAAAGAAAAAAATTACTTAGAAGTAAGCTGAAATACTGAATGAAACAGTTATAGAGAGCCGGAGAGAGGAAGAAACAGACATGAAGGAAAGAGAATCTTTCTCTCCGTCTCACACACACTCTCACTCACGCACTTACACACACATTCACACACACTCTCACACACACTCAGACTCACACACTCACATATGCACACACTCTTACACACTCACACATACTCACTTTTGTGCACTCACACACAAGAGTCACACACATGTACTCACACACACTTACAGTCACACACATTCATGCACTCACACACACTCATACTCACAGACTCACTCACACACAACATACTCATACACAGTCACGCACACATGCACTCACACCCACACATACTCATACTAATGCACTCACACACTCACACTCACACACTCACATATGCACACACATTCACACACTCACACATACTCACTTTCGTGCACTCACACACAACAGTCACACACATGTACTCCCACACACTTCTAGTCACACACACTCACGCACATTCACGCACTCACACACTCATACT